TCTCATGTGTGTCTTCAGGAGCCCCAATTGTGCAAAGGTAGCATCACACAGCGTGCACTTATACGGTTTCTCTCCCGTGTGTGTTCTCATGTGTGTCTTCAGGAGCCCCAATTGTGCAAAGGTAGCATCACACAGCGTGCACTTATACGGTTTCTCTCCCGTGTGTGTTCTCATGTGTGTCTTCAGGAGCCCCAATTGTGCAAAGGTAGCATCACACAGCGTGCACTTATACGGTTTCTCTCCCGTGTGTGTTCTCATGTGTGTCTTCAGGAGCCCCAATTGTGCAAAGGTAGCATCACACAGTTCGCACTTATATGGTTTCTCTCCCGTGTGACTTCTCATGTGTAACTTCACTCTACTCAGATAGGAGAAGGAAGCATCACACAGTTTGCACTCAAATGGATTTTCCCCGGAATTAATTCTCACGTACTCCATCGTGTTTCAGGCAAAGCTGCCACGTACTGGTCACACACGTCAGGTGTCTACCCTGTCTGGCGTTCAAGTTACGACCACGTGTTTAGCTTCGTAGGCTGCCTTGTTTCACTTGTAGAATTCACGTCCTATATAGGCTCTCCTACAAATTAGTAAAGAGAATACAAATAAATTCATTAAACGCAGCGTATTGATATAGAACATAAACGCGCCCCGGTTATGTTTGCAATATAACTGTTGATGCTGCATATCGAATTATTATCATCCAAACATCACGCACCATTTAACAACTGTAAGGTCAAGCACATAATATATCACGAAACTAAATATACTGAATTAATATAAGAAACATCCGTTTACCCAATGAGGTCACTGAACGTCCGTGTGGTGTTCTCGTATTAGACTGATGTTACAAACGTCAATGGTGTAATGATATACCTGCTGTTATGATGAAACCGGTCAGATATCCTGACACACGGGTAACCGGTCTCATCTCCTGATACCAGGACACCAGGTGGTCGCTTCCCCTAAATAATTACAAAAGCAACTGTACACCTCGCCCACAAACATTGCTGTAAAACTATCTCATGGTCTCGCCTGGGCTTGGTGTTTAAATGACATCCGTACTGTGTAGGGACGTTGATTGTTATTTCTACCAAAGCATGACTTACCAGCTTTGTAAACAAACACTAACAACAAATCACTGTATACATAATGTTCTGTTTCCGCACACCAAGCAATCCCCGCGACTTCTTGAACTCTGAGCTCCTCACAACACCCTGCAACACTTTTTAATGTATCGCATTTCATGTATATTAAACGCAACAATCCGTCAGACAATGCAACGACAGTGCAGTGCACACGTGGCGATTGTTCAGCGACTCGGCAACAAATATCAAACATGTTGTATAATAACAATTTGTGTGTTAGACAAATATAGAATTTCTTTGATATAACTATCATAGCCTTTGGACAGGTGACAATGCATGAATCTGAGTCGAAGTGCAATACTTTGTTTTTATTAACTGTCTGTTTTACATTTTATAATTTCAATACAAGTTATTATGCTTCTTCATTTCCTTCTTGGATATTGCGATCATGTTTTGATGATGCCTGGGTAAATGCTAGAGGCCCGTGATTCACAGGCCGCAAATGGCTAGTAATAATTAATATGTGTTTTTCAAAGAAATATACAATTGGTGCACTGACAGACATGCAGAAATACTTTGAAAATAAAACCACATGAAATTTACTAATAAAAATAAAAATAGGAAATGTACAAATAAGCCATTCTACCAGGACTCCATGATATCTATACTACTACAAAAACGAACTATGTCTGTCTGTCTGTCTGTTTCCTATGCATTTTGCCGTTTATTGGTTTAGGATGCCACAAATTGCCACACGGTTAGGTGATCACCATAATAAGGTATAATAATAAGGTATATATAAGGGTGGTTTAAGAACATTTAAAAGGATACACTAAAAACTGCGATTTAAAAACAAATAAAATATTAAAAGTTAAAGTATGAATGCCTCGAAATGGCATTGTTGTCGTAGCACGCAATACATGTTGGGATGACTCACAGCGTATGTATTTATACCGATTGACTCGCTCTATTTATGTATTTCTATGTGCGATAGCGTGCGCTAATCACGTGTTTGTTTCTCTGTTAGTGTTAGTAATCTATCCGTAAAATTAAAGGACAATTGAAGTCAAATTTTATAACTTCTGTAACGTTTTTATACATAGAAATACATTCAATAACGTATTCCATTTCAAATCCGGCGCCCGCAGTTCAAATCCGCAGTAAGAAACACATGAATATTAGTCTAGGTCATGTGACGTCACAGCCCCCCGTTGAAACACGCCATTATGTAAACATATTGCGTGTGGTGTATTAGATGGAGACAGAAAGCGATAATTTCAATGATTCTAGTGATTACTCAGATGATGATGATATATTTATAGTGATTTACCAGTTGGATATAGGGTGGAGCCTGAATATACACAAGAAGAAATTGAGGAGTATCGTCTGAAAAAGCAACGCGAAGAGTCGGCACACACTTCTCGAGAATCAGAACAGTCACAATTCATGGCGGAATGGAAACTTCGGTACCAGATAGGACTGTAGACAAATACTGGTGTTCTTGTAGTGTTTGTGAATTAATGAGTACGGCACCTGAATGTATATGCTGCCATGAGAATGAGAAGCACAGGGTTATTGTAGACTAGTTCAACGCTAGACCAGGTGAGGCATGCGAGTACACTGATCAACGGGCTTATCACGCTTGGTCAGAATCACATGTATCTGTACATGTACAAACATCTCTACGCAAGTCATGTACATATACCGTGAATGCATTATCCACACAGGTAATATGTATGTACATGAATATAAGTACATTTACAGGCTACATGTTTGTTGTATGCTGTAACAATACTTTCCCCTAGCATAACATATACTAGCGTGTTAGCACTGTTATGCTATATAATGGCGTGTTTCAACAGGGGGCTGTGACGTCACATGACCTAGATTAATATTCATGTGTTTCTTACAAATTGGGGCGCCGGATTTGAAATGGAATACGTTATTGAATGTATTTCTACGTATAAAAACGTTACAGAAGTTATAAAATTTGACTTCAATTGTCCTTTAAGTAAATATCTATGGCTGCATTTGCTCTCAAATTTGATCCTAAGCGTTTTTCCACGAGCAACACCGGGTAGCCGGCTAGTTTCCACAAAAATCACATTTTTAACGAGCTTGCAATCTTATATTAGCTTGCTGGTACTTGTTTTAAGAAACTATTTCAGCAAAGGCACCAGTTATGCATATTTAAGCATGGAAGTTAATGCAGCCACACTAATATTTTCTCAAATATTACAAACTATTCTGCGTGATGTGCGTGACAGCTGTGTGCTAGGCTACTAACAAGTTTTGATGTATACTTCACACTGTAGATTTTTTGTAGAATACTATAAGTTTGATCCGAGTTATACCTGTTGAATTACCTACACAGTACCAATATATGATCACTCCATACATCACCTGCACTGCTAGAAACCTCTTCTAAAGTGAGCAACATCCTCCAAAGTATGTGACTCCTGTGACACTATTCTTTGACTCGCATTGACTTTTTCTCCATGGATCATAACATGTCAGTCATCAAAATTCTGATTACCCTAACACTTGTTAACGCTATGAGCTACTATCGTACTCGAGTCACAGAATAGTGTCATGCGAATCACATACTTAAAGAGGATATTGCTCATTGAAAGAGAGGTTTCTTGCAGTGAAAATTATGTATGGAGTATATTTTTGTAGAAATGTCACGCACGTCACAGTGGAAGGGCTGTTATGTCAATAATTATCTGAACCAAAATGTAGAAAAAGACATTTAAAGGCTCACAATGCGCATCCAAACGCTATTTTCTCCAGTACTAGACTAGCAAATACTTCGTGTCATGCATAATCACACTACCTTATGACAAAATAAACTCTAGTTGCTCCCATTTCACTGCGCGTTTGCTTAAAACCCACAAGAAAGAAGTGCGAAATCTGGTAATCTGGTGCCAACACCGAATTGTTTGCCAAGCAATTTCGCCCTGAATCAGTTAGGTGACGTCACATGTTCCCTTACAAAAATAACCTATAGGTTCCTATAGGAGTTTATAGGCACCTATAGAGCTTCTATAGGTGCTCTATAGGTTTGGACAACCTATACACCTATAGGCTTATAGACCTATAGGTTTTCAGATTACCTGATTGTGCGAAGGTAGCATTACACAGATCGCACCTGTACGGTTTCTCCCCCGTGTGAGTTCTCATGTGTTTCTTCAGATTACCCGACTCTGAGAATGCGGCATCACACAGCGCGCACTTATACGGTTTCTCTCCCGTGTGGGTCCTCATGTGTATCTTCACACTACCCGATTCTGAGAAGGCAGCATTACACAGTTCGCACTTGTATGGTTTCTCTCCCGTGTGAGTTCTCATGTGTCTTTTCAAAGCACTCAAATCTGAGAAAGCGGCATCACACATATCGCACTTATATGGTTTCTCTCCCGTGTGAGTTCTAAGGTGTGTCTTCAGATAATCCGATTGTGAGAAGGTAGCATCACACAGCTCGCACCTATACGGTTTCTCTTGAGTGTGAGTTCTTAGGTGTATTTTCACATGGTCCGAGCGGGAGAAGGTAGCATCACACAGCTCGCACTTATACGGTTTCTCTCCCGTGTGACTTCTCATGTGTGTCTTCAGATTACCCGATTGTGAGAAGGCAGCATCACACAGCTCGCACTTATACGGTTTCTCTTTAGTGTGAGTTCTCAGGTGTGTCTTCACGTGGTCCAAGCGGGAGAAGGTAGCATCACACAGATCGCACTTATACTTGTGCTCTCCCGTGTGAGTTCTCAGGTGTGTCTTCACGTGGTCCAAGCGGGAGAAGGTAGCATCACACAGATCGCACTTATATGGTTTCTCTCCCGTGTGAGTTCTCATGTGTGTCTTCAGATTACCCGATAGTGAGAAGGTAGCATCACACAGCTCGCACTTATATTGTTTCTCTCCCGTGTGAGTTCTCATGTGTGTCTTCAGATTACCTGATAGTGAGAAGGTAGAATCACACAGGTCGCACTTATACGGTTTCTCTCCCGTGTGAGTTCTCATGTGTGTCTTCAGATTACCTGATAGTGAGAAGGTAGCATCACACAGCTCACACTTATACGGTTTCTCTCCCGTGTGAGTTCTCATGTGTGTCTTCAGATTACCTGATTGTGCGAAGGTAGCATCACACAGGTCGCACTTATACGGTTTCTCTCCCGTGTGAGTTCTCATGTGTGTCTTCAGATTACCTGATTGTGCGAAGGTAGCATCACACAGGTCGCACTTATACGGTTTCTCTCCCGTGTGAGTTCTCATGTGTGTCTTCAGATTACCTGATAGTGAGAAGGTAGCATCACACAGCTCACACTTATACGGTTTCTCT